TTTATCTTGGTTTTACAATTTTTTCATTACATAGATGTCATCTTTCACTCAATTAAAGGTAAATCTATAAATTTTTGATATGTATTTTTGCGTCTTTTATATATTAGATTCTAATAAGTTATATATTCAACATAATGTGATTATTTTAGTTATTATTTAATCTTAAAACATTGTTTTTTGAATTTCCTCTCTGTTTTGATGTCATTTAAACGTTTTTGGATATGTAGGTTTTTTCAGAACGGAGGCAGACATTGGAAGACTTACAGAAGATTTTCCTGGAAATTTTCTTACGTCTTCTTAAGTCTTTTAACGTTGTTTTAAGTCTGCTGATGTTGTCTTAAGTCTTCTGCTTAGTCTTCTTCCATGTCTCCTCTTTCACAACAGATCTGAGAGTTTTGGTAAGTTTTCATGTCTGATTTTTTTCATTTAATATTCTATTGTTGCATAAAGTTCTTATCTTTTTTCCAAACTAAAATTCTCCAACCTCTTTTTAGTCTCTTTATACATGAAACCACCAAAAAATATATCAATTTCTCATTTCATGTGTGTCTCACTATTTTATCTTGTTTTTGCAAGTTTTTCATTACGTAGTTGTCGTCTTCACTCATTTAAGGGTAGATCCGTAAAAATTTTATACGTATTTTTTGTTTTTTATAGGTTAGATTCTAATAAGTTATAGATTCAATAGTTGACAGAGCCACTACACTCTGTAGACTTGATCTCCAACTGATTGTATTCCCACCAGATCGACCTTCTCTTGTCCAGATCCAAAGCAAAATCAGAATCACAGAAACCTTCAACTTAAACTCCTCATTCTTCTTGAAGCACACCTTGTTCCTATCATAGCATACATTATGCTTCCGATAGCATTAGCATATGGAATATTCTCCATACTTTTCTCTGCTTCAAGATCATCTACGGCAGACAATTTGAAATGTGCACCAACAGGCATTAACACACTCTTTGACTCATTCATGTCGAATACCTTGAGAACCAGATTAAGATAGTGTCAGAATACCCCTTTCATGATCTCTCTCAATATCCATTCTTAAAATTCGTCTTGCTGGACCCAAGTCCTTCATCTTAAATCTGCTGGTGAGTAGCTGCTTCACTTTCTTGATCTATGCCGCATCCTAGACGCAACCAACATACCATCCACATATAACAGTAGATAGATGTACGTACCATTGATTAACTCCTTGATGTAGACACATTGATCATATTCACTCTTCATAAATCCATGACTAACCACAAACTGATCAAAACACTTGTTCCATTGTCTTGGTGCCTGCTTTAGTCCATAAAGAGCCTTCTCAAGTAGACAAACGTGATACTCTTTCCCTTTAACCTGAAATCCTTCTGGTTGCTCCATGTAAATCTCTTCTTCAATTGTACCGTAAAGAAAAGCAGTCTTTACATCAAGTTGCTCAAGCTCCAAATCCTAATTCACTGTAATTGACAACATGAACCTCATGAGCACATGTTTCACGACAGGTGAAAACACATCTTGATAATCAATACCCTCTCTTTGAGAGTATCCCTTAGCAACTAACCAAGCCTTGAATCTAGGTTTCTCAACACCAGGAATACCAGACTTCAACTTAAAGACCCACTTGCAGCCTATCACCTTACGCTTAATAGGCCTTCTCACAAGCTTCCAGCCTTGGTTCTTATCCAGTGAAGTCATCTCTTCACCACATGCTTCATCCCACTGCCTTCTCTTTTTGATTTTCATCGCTCCATGATAGTCTTAAGGTTCCTCGGCACATACGTCATCAGCTACATATAGCGCAAACACTACTATACACTCCGAGTCAGAGTACCGTGCAGGTGGCACTATTCTTATATGAACTCTATCTCATGCTAGCTGATATACTTCAAGACTTTCACCTTGTTCATCATCTGCATCAACAACTACTTCGGTTGTTTCGTCAACAGCTCCACATGAAGGTTCACCTTCTGGTCCTGACGCAGATTCTGTTGTTTCTCCCAGCACAGTCTGATTTCTTAGCTCCTCTGTAACATCTGCTTTAACCTCGCAGACTCTCAAATCCTTGTAGACTTTTTCTTCTGCAAATACATCATTCCTGCTTATAACACACTTCTTCTCTTTAAGAAGCCAAACTTTGTATCTTTTCACACCTGATGGATAGATGACGAAGATTCCCCTTTTAGCTCTGGCCTTGAGCTTTCCTTGATCCGCATGGACATAAACCACAGATCCAAATCTTTTTAGGTGAAGATAATATGGCTTCTTGGCCAACCAAAGTTCCTCCGGAATGTTCATATCTATTGTATAGGATGAACTCATGTTTATCACATACGATGACGTAGACACTGCTTCAGCCAAGAATTGTTCCTCTAGACCCGACTCAACCAGAACGCATCTCACCTTCTCCATCAGAGTCATGTTCATACGTTCAGCTACACCGTTCTGCTGTGGTGTATATGCACATGTCCTATGTCTCTTGATTCCATGTTGCTTGCAGAAGTTGTCAAACTATGTGTTACTAAATTCAAATCCATTGTCTGTTCTAAGACAACATATTTTCTTCATGACTTGATTCTCCACCAACTTCTTCCATACACATAATTTACTAAAGGTGTAACATCACAGTTTGTGGTATTTGGAAAGGCTTAAGAGAATTGATTTGGTTACCTATGTCCCCAAAAGTGCACTTACATTTTCGGGAGCACATCCAAAGAGAACTCCAGAGTTAAGCGTGCTTGAGCTGAAGTAGTCAAAAGGATGGGTGACCTATCGGGAAGAGATTTGCGATACCGTGTAAGGGAGGCCAAAGCACGGGGAAAGGTCATGTGGTGATTGCAGGGTCAGTAAACATGACTCTAGAGCCTTGGAAAATTAACGGACCAGCCGTTGGAATGAGATGGGGCCCACGGGCCGAGAGCGGGTGGGGGTGGCCCATTAGATGTGGCCGGTCGGGGCGTTACAAAAGGATTCTCCTTTAGCCGCTAAGAAATATACACAGACCTCCTTGTTTAATCATCGATAATAGACAGGAAATACTACTTTCCTGATAGACTTGGCATCACATTTGGACATCCCCATAAATCAGCATGTACATACCTGAGAGCTTTTCTTGTATCATGTCTCCCAAAGTTGAAGCTTAACCTCTTCTGCTTCCCCACCACAAAGCTCTCACATAACTCCAAAACTCCAATCTTCCGCTTATCGATCACCCCTCTCCGAGCTAGAATCTGTATATTCTTCATACTCATGTGCCCAATACATTTGTGCCACAAGACTCTCTCATCCATAGATGGTTTTTTTGATATTGCTGTTAACTTCACCTGACACAGTCTTGCCATCTAACAGGTACAATGACCCAGAAAAGGTTCCCTGAAGAGCTAGTTTACCATGCTTGTAAAACCTAGTCTTCCCATGTCCACCACTATGCACAAATCCTAATACATCCAAGGTTCCAGTAGATATCAAGTTCCTTCTTAATTCTGGAATATACCTGACATTCGTGAGCATCTTGTACCTCTTCTGGCACGGTTACATTCACGCTTGACAGGTAAGAAACAATCTTCAATAGGTCATCAATATTCTCATCCATACTCCGAGTATCGACCATCTTGAAGGTATATAATTTGTGTTGCAAGTGAATTCTATTCGGCAGAGTCTTCGAAAGATATAACCTCTCCAGTGTAGACCATGTAGAAGCGGCTGGCGTACACAACTCGATTTTCCTTAACACGTGATCTCCAACATTGAGAATGATCATATTCATCGCCTTCTCTGATCTTTCAAGCCTTTCAGCTTCCTCTTTCACCAACCTCTCGCTAAATACATCTTCTTCTTCATCCTTCCTCATCGGTGACTCAGAAGGTGACATAGACTCTTCTAACACATCCTTTAAACCAACGACAGACAGATGCGCAAGCATCCTATTCTTCCACAATGAGAAGTCACCCTTCCCATCAAACTTCTCACCTTAATTCTAACATTCGCCATTGACAACGACACCAACCAATACTCTGATACCACTTTTTTGAACCACAAGGACGAATCAGTTTAATTCAAGAACCAGAATCAAACACACAAACTCGTTGATACACTCTCTAACAAATTCGACGACGTAAGTAAGAGTTGAGTTTGTAGAATAATGGAGATAGGAAGAAGAATGCGGAATAAGTAGAAGATGGACACAAGAGAATTTTTACCTTTCACCTAGATTGATTTACGTCCACTGGGCTCTGACAAGGAGACAATTTACTATAATTTTAAGTACAAAGATTTAGCACATCTCTCTCTCTCACAACCAAAGTTTACAAACAAAGTTTGGTCTTTTCTTGTGTTAAGGAAAAGAGAAACACACGAGCTTCTCTTATATAGTAGGAGTCTATTAGGTTAACTTAGTTGGATTAGGGCATTCTCCCCTTTCCATAAACCTATTAGAAAATATTTCAAAATACTTGCAATTTTCATATTTCTATAAAAATGATATTTATAGGATCCTGCCAACTTCTATATCTCCATAAAAGTGACATTTCATTTTCTTAACATGATATTTTTATCTTGGTTTAAGTTACTTAATTTTGTTTGATTTCCATCACTAAATCTTGACGAAGTCTTTGACGGATTCTCTAACATAATTACTGATGAATTCCAACAGTTAATGATTAAAATGACATTTTTACCGTTTCTTTTGGGGAGATACAAAAAATTCGACACGAAAATAAATATAGAGGGTTATGCTGCAGATCATGAGGCTTGCAGCCTTCAGTATTACAAATGTCGACGACGTCAATGCTTCATTATGGGTCCTATGTATTCGGTCCAATAAAGCATACAAACTTTTGTTGTGCATAAACTACTATACTAAAAAATTTCAATGCTCTTAAACTTCTACACAAACTTTGGCACCTAACTTGATGAGTTTTAGCTCACGACCAACTTATTTTCTACACTTTATTTACCGAGAGATTTTGTGTATGGGAATAATGAGGGAGTCGAATACTGCAAATCAGACTAATTTCTGGAACCAACCCTAAACTTTTAATGGAAAATGTATATCTCGTCAATAAGCAACTCTTCAAGAATAAAAATATCTTTCTCTATGCAACATGATGCTGCAATTTCTCGTCTTGTGTTTTTTTTTCACATATCCGAGAAAATAACTTTTTGGGAATTTGCGACCCAAAAAGAGAGGGAAAGAACAGAGCTCGAATGCTACCTAAGGTAGCTCGAAGCCACCCAAAGCAAAACGTAGCTTAAAAGCGAAGACATGACTTCGAAACCTCTTGGTCCTTTGATGAAGGGCGGGATCACAGAAACCATCAAGAAGGTCCCAATCAGCCACGAGAAGATGAAAGAACCAGTCCTGTTTCACAATATCATTAACCTGATCAGTTGCGAATCCAAAACCACGAACACGAAGGTCGCAAAAGCTTTTGCGATTATGATCAGCTTAGCTTATTATTACCCGTAAAGGAAAGACCAGAGCTTCTTCTTCAGCCTTTGGTGAATAAAGTAAAACGTAGCTATTACAGATAACAAAACCTGCAGAGTGGGTCCTTCTTCTGTCGGGAACAGAACCGTAAGAGCGCCGAGAACTGAAAACGTGACTGCCGTTTTGACAAGGAAAGCAGTAGGAGGAGTTTGGAATCTGTTGAAAACAAAGCTTACAACTTTGGACTGTCTCACTTGGCGGACCTTCTTGCTTAGGTCGATCTTTGGGTTTTTCCTCTCATGGAACTTCTGCATGATAATCTTGTCATGAGCTGATTCAATCGCATCAACACTAGCCTTATGACCAGCGTACTGCTGAATGAGAAAGTTCCTCGCGCCTTGAATTTCATCCTCTGAAGCCATCCGGCTTATCCCAAGACGTTTGTATGGGTCTTTGACATTGATCCGAGGGAAAACAGCTGAACCTATATATCGAAGTAGCAGTGAACATTAGTCATTACACTTTGAGTTAATTGTTATGACTAAAGATTTATAGAGTTAAAGTGTTTTACCAGATGAATCGTCTGACATATCCCCAAAGGAAGCACTCATGGCACGGACGATTATAGCATTGCTTCTTTGAGAAGAAAGTGCTAAACAAGTCCTATGTAACAACCAAAGAGAAAAGCACCATTACAAATCATCTGTCATATGCTTAATCGAACAAGCGCAAAGACAATACCTTTGAAGAAGAGGAGAAGCTGCATCATCTGGACGAACGCTTCTCTGGAATGTACCAAAACGATGTGAACGGCATCGAAAGTGAAATTTGGGGGGAGCTAGAGTTAACCCGAACGCATTCATCATCTCTGGAAATCCCTAAATTTATAATATAAAGAATGATAAAACCAATAAAGTAAAATCAAAAGCCCTAAACAGTTCGTAGCTAAACCAATTACACAGTAACTAGTATGCATTCTAAACCCGATTCGTCCAGCTCGAAAAACTAGAAGCTAGTATCCCTCGAATTAAGACAAACTGAGTAAAATGCCGGAGCTATAACAAAGTTCAAGTTTACTCGCGTACCCATGGATGAGGTCGAACCGAAAATCAAAAAGATAAGAGCGCCAGAAGCAAGAGACGTACCGCCGATGAAAACAATTCAGCAAACCACTTTCCCACCCGGAAGCATCTACTAAACAAAACGCTGCTCTGCTCTGCTTGCAAAAACGGATAGAAGAGGCACCAGCACGACGATATGGATTTATCCATCAATAACATTAAAACAAGATCAATCAAAAAAAAAAAAAATCAATCTTTTAAGATTTTTATGTTTTTAAAAAAAAATATCCTAGAACAAATTTAATTTGTTACCAGGTGACCGGTCCGCACCCTGTGCAGGTATATATAAATTCAAATTATGGACTTAATAATACAAAGTTTTAGAAGTAATAGATTTTATATTATAAGACCACCGTCTTTGAGGTGAAGCATCATGCATAGAAAAATGCTAGTACACAATATTTTACATGGAGGAGATGGAACAAAGTAACTTCAATATCAATAGGTAGTTATTGTGTGTATTTATAATTGCAACATCACAAAAAAATTTGTGTGTTGAAGGTTGAATTTTATTTTCCAAATCTGAAATTAATAGTGTGTAGTTTTATAAGTAGCATATTTTCTATTATCACTAATTAGAGTTGTATTGTATATGTGTTGTAATTCTTAATTTTAGGTGAAAAATATTATTATGCATAAATTTTTCGTAAAATATATGTAGACAGATTAAAAGAAATGTTACACATATCCCTCTCGCTCTCTCTCTCTCTCTCTCTCTCTCTCTCTCTCTCTCTCTCTCTCTCTCTCTCTCTCTCTCTCTCTCTCTCTCTCTCTCTCTCTCTCTCTCTCTCTCTCTCTCTCTCGGTATTCTGATTTTGGGACAATGGAATTTAATTAGGTAATTGAAGATTAGTACATTTGATACATCAATTCACTTTTTGTTTCAGTGATCTAATAAAAGTTATAAGAAAACACTATGAAAAAAGAAGATGTAATAAAACTGTTTAACTTATACGACAATAATGAGAAAATGCTTTTATTATTAATTTATAACATTACAATAACGAGAATTCCACAAAAGTAAAACAAAAAATTCAATTAATAGAATTCTAACAAAAGCCACAGCTTAACCATACTATTGATAACACGTTCTAAACTTAAACAACGTCAATGAGCTTCCGTTCAAAAGCATGATTGATTCAATCTACTCCAAGTCTGAAAGAACATGTAAACAATTATATTTACCCAAACACAATTTATAGTGACGTTTTCTTTTGATAAAAACATGAGTTTACTTGGTTTATCCGTATTTTTTCTTTGGTTGCATAATATATCTTGTGATAGTTTTTTTCCAAGTAGCATTCCAAACGTTTTCAGGATTTGTGATACTATGTGTTAGTAATAGGACACAAAACAACTTGCATAGATCCTTTGCTGATGCCCAATAACATGCTTCTTTAATAACTTCAATATTTTCTTCATCATAGTCCTTGCAGATAACAGAAGAAGTTATTTTTTTTCATATCTCTGTTTTAGATTCTCGAAATAGACATTCATATTTTGTTAGTTTTTTTAAGTACACAGGCACATAAGTTATTTTTTTCTAAAAAACGTCATTAGATTAAGCTTTGAAGAAAATAAGATACTTAAAATGTAAATCATAAGAAAATGTAAGATATATATAACAGTGTTGATATGGTTGCACGAAAAGTTAGTATCAAATAATATATTCGTATTATATATTACATTTTTTTATTGCTATAAAGATGTTCTGAATTTAATGCGTTAACATAAATCATTCTTAATTATTACCAATCAATCTTGTGAATTAAATAAGTAATATAAAATAAGAAGAACAGTTATGAATTAAAAATATCCAATAGAAACCTGCAAAAAATTGTCAAATTTGCTAGCAACTATACAATATAAAATAATTTAATAGGACACAAAACAGCTTGCGTAGATCCTTTGCTGGTAGTTTTTATCCGTATTTTTTCCATATTTTTTTTTTGGTTGCATAATATATCTTGTGATAGTTTTTTTCCAAGTAGCATTCCAAATGTTTTCTGGATTTGTGATACTATGTGTTCGTAATAGGACACAAAACAACTTGCGTAGATCCTTTGTTGATGTCCAATAACATGCTTCTTTAATAACTTCAATATTTTCTTCATTATAGTCCTTGCAGATAACAGAAGAAGTTATTTTTTTCCATATCTCTGCTTTAGATTCTCAAAATAGACATTCAAATTTTGTTAGTTTTTTTAAGTACACAGGCACAAAAGTTATTTTTTTCTAAAAAAACGTCATTAGATTAAGCTTTGAAGAAAATAAGCAACTTAAAATGTAAACCATAAGAAAATGTAAGATATATATAACAGTGCTGATATGATTGCACGATAAGTTAGTATCAAATAATATATTCTTATTATTTATTACATTCTTTTTATTGCTATATAGATGTTCTGAATTTAATGTGTTAACATTAATCATTATTAATTATTACCAATCAATCTTGTGAATTAAATAAGTAATATAAAATAAGAAGAACAGTTATGAATTAAAAATATCCAATAGAAACCTGCAAAAAATTGTCAAATTTGTTAGCAACTGTACAATATAAAATAATTTAATAGATTTCTAAATTTTATTGAGACAAAAATAATATTAAATTTGCATATCACTATTGAAACAAACGGATAAATGATTTGTAGTTAACTACAACCGGTCTTTCGTCTGTGTTATTTACCTGTTAATAGAAAAAACAAACAAATGTAAGAATTTATAAATTTAAATTTTTTTATCGAATAAAAATAGACTAATAAGTTAGTATTGACATCTCTTAGGTGTCTCCTTTATATATACTCTACCTTCCTTTTTCTTATGTTATTAGGGAGATATTTTCATAACAAATGATGTTTAGGAATATAATTTCATAATAAATAATGAAACAGTTAAAAGAAAGATATTAAAGTTATATTGTCATTAAATGATTTAAAATTAATACATTATAAACTTGTGCAATTAAATCATATTCAAAATAAGGTAAGTTTTTTAAAACGAATTAACAAATTAGAAACATTAAGGCAAATTTCATTAAAACAATGTAATAAATATGATTTGAAGTTGCACAAGTAATATGTGTTCAAAATAAGTTTATAAAGACGATTAACGATGCTTTGCTTGCAAAAATCCCTTGGCGACTCCTTCGCAGCCCGAACTCTCTGCTGGGGCAGGTCTTGCTCAACAAATACTGCAAATATGAGGGACTGCTTGACTGCTCTGCTCCAGGGAATGCATCGCATGGGTGGCGCGGAATTTTAGCTGGTCGAGATATTATTAAGCAAGGAGTGGGATGGATCATCGGAGATGGTAACAGCATCAATGTCTGGCAGGATAACTGGCTCTCCACTTCAAAACAACTCTGTCCCATTGGACCAGCTCCAGAAAATCTTCAATCCTTAAGAGTTGCTGACCTTATTATTCCTGCAACTGCGGAATGGAACCCTTTGGCAGTAAGGTCCACTCTTCCCCAGTATGAAGAACAAATCAATCTTCTGGTTCCAAGTGCACTTGGCATGAAAGATGTTCTTGCTTGGTTACCTGAAAAATCAGGGGAATACACCACTAAGTCTGGGTATGCCCTCGCGAAACTAAACATTACACAACCCTCACCTGAAGACTTCAACTGGAAAAATTGTATCTGGAATGTCAGGTGTGCCCCAAAGCTTAGACACTTCATGTGGAAAATTAAAAGTGATGCTTTGTCTGTGGGTGATCTCCTGAGAAGAAGAGGAATTGATACTGATGGTAAGTGCAAGAGATGTGGAAATGATGAAACTGTGCTTCATGTGTTCTTGACTTGCCCCTTTGCAGCAAAGGTATGGGACCTCGCTCCTGCTCTCTTCAAGCCAAACCCATCGGTGGTGGCTTCTGTAACAGAGCTCCTTAAAAACTGCCAACGTATGGTAAATCTCCCTCCCTCTGGTCTCTCCCAACCTTTATTCCCCTGGATCCTCTGGAATTTATGGACTTGTAGGAACCAAATGATCTTTGAGGATAAGATTTATGTCGAAGGTGAAGTGATTTCAAAGGCTATTAAAGATGGACGTGAATGGCAACTCGCTCAGCCTCTCACTCCCTTGAACGTTTCAGTAAAGAAACCATCCTCCCTAAGCCAACGTCTAGTGACCGAACTACAACCGTTAGTCCAATGCTTCTCTGATGGAGCTTGGGACAGCATGTCTGGAAGGGGAGGGATGGGATGGCTGGTTAAGAATCAAGCTGGTGAAACTCTCCTTCAAGGATCCACCCACCGACAGTTCATTGCTTCTGCGATGATTGCGGAGGCACTGGCTATGAAGGAAGCTATCTCCTCTGCTATTGCAGCAGGTTTTAAAGACTTACTCTGTGTTACAGATTGTAAAAGTCTAACGGATCTCATCACAGGGAACTCTTATGTGACTCCCATTCAAGGTATCCTCCACGACATTGGCGTGATGAGTCGATCCTTGAATTCTATCTCTTTTACTTTTATCTCTCGTATTAAGAATGAAGCTGCTGATAGACTAGCTAAAGCAGCGCTTGTTGTATCCCAAAATGCACCTTTGGTGTAAACTCTGTTTCTTTTGCGACAAGTAATGAAGGGTTTGACCAAAAAAAAAAAAAGACGATTAACAAATTAGAAACATTAAGGTAAATTGAATTAAAACAATGGAATAAATATAATTTGAAGTTGCACAAGTAATATGTGTTCAAAATAAGGTAGGTCATTAATCAACTAAAAACATTAAGGTAAATTACATTTAAATTATAGATATTTAAATATTAAATGATATATAATAAAGAAATAATAAATATAAAAAGTAGTTGATATAATTTTTTGATTAATAAATATTACTATATATATATATTTAATTTTAATTAAAAGATCATATAATTGCAAACCAAAAAAATATATCAATTTTAATTAAAAAAGATCATAAAACAAAATCACAATCAGCAAACCAAAGAGATATATATGTATATATAAGCTTATAATTCTAAACAATAATATAAATCTACTAATAAAAAAAAAGTACTGGCAGCACAAAAAGATGCTATTGAAATGATATAACTGAGAGATGTTATCAAATAGAGAATTTTTTTACCAGATTGAGGAACAAAGATGTTCTCGAAATGATATATCAAAGATGTGTACAATCAAATCA